GTGGACGGGATCTCTTTGGGCAGGTGTTGTCACACTCTGAATTTTCTCATTCTCTTTCTTTTGCAGCTGTCATGGGGAATGTATCAACATCCACAGTGCTGATGTGCTCTCTTCTGTCAAGGATGGATTTTGGCCACTTGTCTTCAGAGAGCTAAGTGTTCAGACTGGTGGTTGGGAGGAGGAAAACCTTTGGGAGGCAATTTGAAGTTAGTTTTGAGGGGAGGGCTGTTGTGGGACAGACCCTTTGGGACTAAAGTGGGAGGGTTTTCCTCAGCATCACCCAAACCTTTATAGAGCTGTTCCAACCCATCTCTGTGTTGTCATGAGCTTTGTGTCATCAGCCTTTGAGTCTTGATGTCATCCTGGATCTTTTTGCCCAAGGAGCCCACCTTTGGGTCTGGCATGATGGCCACGGTCACCATTTTACCCACTTATCAGCGCTCAAGCGCTTCCTAGGATAGCATGCACACATCCTGAGCCTTGGCCACATTCTGCAATGTCCCTTTGGTGGCAGAGTCCTTCTCTAGGGATTCCTTTGTATCACCTGGCAGTCATTGGACCTACTCTAGGCCTACTGTGCTTCTTAAGCATCCTCTTAACATCTTTGGCACTGACTTCTTGTAAGGAGCTCTTGCCCTAGAGCCTTCTTTCCTCCGGCATCATCGGCCTCTGGCTCATCTTGCACTAGGAATCTTGGGTTCATGAGGTGAAAGTGCTGGGAAGTTTCAGCTTGTGTTGATGTATCTTGTGTCTATGTTCTGTTGTTTGTGTCCGTTGTCTTCTGTGTCACAGGGCTTTGTTGTGTCTCTGTGTTTTGTCAGTGTGGTTCTGGGCTGTGTGGGCAGCATGGGTACTGGGTGTACTCGTGTACTTTCCCAGATCAGGCTTATTCTGGCATCTTTACATTCTTACTTCTTGAGACCAGAAGTGCACAAAATGTTCTCATCCCTCTTCCTTCTCAGTTTTGCAAGTATCTTTTTTTCATGTGCCATTCCTCACTATGGTAGTTCTGTAGGTTCTGTTGCCTCAAAGTTTATCAGGCTCAACTATTTATCTTCTGGAGAGTTATCTCAAGTCCTCATGTCATCTTTGCTTATATTTGGTGCATTTATGCTTGGAGCTGCCCTGCCCTGGCATGTAGAGTTATGGCTGGGTTGAACAGTTATAAAACTATAAACCTCTCTTGTCTGGGGAGTTTTGGGTACAAAATTTATGGGTCTGGCATGGGGATAACTCTAAGCTGTCAGCTACTTGTATCTCAGCTCATGCTGTCTTGCAGGTTCCTGAGGCAGATTCTGATCCCTGCTGTCACTGATGCTACTGATTATCCCAGAACCTTCTGTTCCAGGTCAAGGAGCAGCAGTTGGAAGATGTTGAAGGGCTGCAGTCAGTGTGTAAGCTGAAGAAGGGCTGACTGTGAGAGTGTGTGTCCAGCTGTGAAAGTGTGTGTGTTGACACATTTGGGTGCCTGTTTTTTGCCTTTCACGTTTTTCAGATAATTCTTAAATTGAGAATAAAAAAACCACTCACCTGCACACCTCTTCTCACCTCCCTGCAGCTGGGTTTGTTCTTCTCTATGTTCATGGCCCAGGTTGGGGTGCAGACTGGGCAGCACCAGAGCCAGGGTTTTGTCAGGCAAGGTGATTTTGTTTGAGGCTCCTGGGAGCTACATTCCCATGGAGTGCTGTGAATGTGCACCGATGGCCTGTGGTGGCCAGGGTGTACTGGAGCTGAGTGAAAGTGGGTTTGTTTGTAAATGGAGAATGAGTGTTAAATTTCTTACTTTATTTCTCTGTCTCTTTCTCACTTTATTTCTCTGTTCCTCTATTTCTGTTCATTACTTTATTTCTAACTTTACTCATTCCAGCCCTGTCACACCACTCACCCTGGCTCTGCCCACCACCCCACCCCTCATCCTACCTACAGCCAGGGTTTGGGGGCTGGGGGTGCACAGCAGGAGTTAGGGGTTACAGTGGTATTGAGGGGTACAGGGTAGAGCAGTCAGGGGCTGGGGTCAAGGGTCAGGGTGGTTAAAGGGTCAAAAGTCAGGGTGTGAAGGTGGGCAGGTCAAAGAGTCAAAGGTCGTGGGTAAAAGGTCAGAGGTTGAAGGTCAGATGTAAGGGGTCAAAGGTTAGGGGATTGGGGAAAAAAGGTTGAGGGGCCAAAGGTCAGGGATTATCAGAGGGTCATCTCTCACAGGTCAGGCAGTCATTGGAGGTCAGGATTAGAGGTGTCAGTGCAATAATCCTGGGTGTTTCCTGGTGTGGGGACAGGGATCATGGGCTCAGCAGCACCTGGGGCAGGTGGGAGCCACACAGATGGGGACATGTAGCAGTGGGGACACCTCTGTCCTGGTTGCACTGTGCTGCTCCCGTGAGAAACCCCCAGCATCTCCCTGTGCTCCTGCCAGGCCCAGGGAAATGCAGGAAAACATTGAAATCACTGAGGAATGATTGAAATCATCACTGCCTGAGCTGTCCTCCTGCCCAAAGGGCAGCATCAGCCCAGAGCCAGGAGCACCCAGCAGGATGTAGCTTCTCTTTTCTGGGAGCTGGAGGCAGGCTTTCCCAGGCAGGGGGAGCAGGACACTTTTGCAGCATTTTATTAGGAGTCCTGGTGAGCTATTGGATTTGGGCTGCCTTAGAATTGAAATAAGTCCCCTCACCTGTTTTAGGTGCTTTCAGCAAGTTGCTGAAGTTGTCCTGAGATCCAGCCTGTCAATAGCAGCTTCCCATACACGCTGGGAAACTGGGCAGGCTTTTTCCCCTGGAGAGATGCTCCAGCAGCACTTGGTAGTGAGTGCTGGGGGGCTCATCCTTAAGGCAGCTTAAATCCATGATCGCCACAGGCTCTTGGCAGTGCTGAATTCCCAGTTTAGGAGGAAAGGAGCCACCAAAATGACCCCTTCCAGTGCAGCAGCTGCTTTGTGCCAGTACCTGGAACCTGGCATTGATCCTGATTGTCCAGCTCTGGAGTCACTGAAGTGCTGCAGGATGAAAAACAGACAAGACAGTGCATTGACTGCTCGTGTGGCTTTTGGGCAGGGCAATTGGCAGTGGGTGTGTTTAGGGAGAGAGACACTGCTTCCCTTCCCAGCAAAGCATGGGAAGCACAGCCCAGAAGATGAGCCTTGGGAACTGCGAGCTGAGAAGTGGCTCAAATCTGCTTCCAGCTCCTGGAATGATCTGTGTTGGAAAGGACCTTCCAGATTATCCTGTTCAACCCCCTGCCATGGTCAGGGACATCCTCCATTTTCTTCCTTGGGATCTGATGTGCCTTAAGAGAGAATGGTGAAAAAGCCATTATCCCTGACTGAATCTCTGAAAAACAGGGATTGAAGCTTTCTGAAATGGCCCAAACCTGCCTGCATGTATCCAAATGCAGCCCCTAGAAAAATCTGTGTACAGTTGGGATGAGACCTCACCCACTGTTACTTGCCAGCTCACAAGTTGTGTAGCTCAGTCTGCAGCCATGAGGGGCCAGGCTGTGTTTGAAACAGCCCCAGGTACCAGAGAGCTGGAGTCATTTTCTAGCAGATGACTTGACTGGGAAGCTGCATTCCAAACTTTTGTCCACATGTATTTTATCTCCCACCTGGAGAAGCCTAAAGCAGAGGTGGGGTGATCCTAACAAAAGAACAGGCAAAGCCATCAGTGGCAGAGGACTTACAATTGAAGTATGAGTGGAGGTGCCTTTGGGACACTTCCAGTTCCTTAGTTTATGAATGGACTATCCTGACAAGCTTGTATGAACTCCAAAGCCTCTGCGAGTGTTTTACAGCCAGGGAGGGAGACAAGACTCTGGAATCTCTCCCCAAAAACTGGCTGCTGGTTTGTTTGACCAGGCATAGGAATAACTGTGTATTCCCTGGGACTGTCCTTATGGAGAAAAGTTTATTTATGTGCCCTGGGTTTATGCAGTGTGTCTTCAAAATGATTTCATTGAAATGCCAGGGGTGCCAAATGCTTTCTCTGGCCAGAACTCGGAGCCAGCCCTGTGGGAAGGGGTTTAATGCCCATTTTCCCAACCCCTTGAGGCAGCAGCACTGCAGCACATGCACCCAAACATGCCCAAGGTGCCAAGTGCTGGCAGGAGGCAAATCCAGGGCTTGGACAGCAGGAACTTGCACGGCTCCTGTAATCCCAGACCTAGAGCTGTGCTTTAGAACTCCCAGGAGATGCTGCCTCACTCAAACTTCATTTAAAGCTCAGCATCCCTCCTGTTCCCTTGGAATTATTGTTGCTACCATTGTTGCTCTTTCCCAAAAACATGATTATTATTGTAAATTCCCACTCTTTTTCTTCCATAGCCCTTTGCTTCCCAGAGGTGCTTCCTTCCCTCCCTGCTGCACTTTGCCTTTTCCAGGGGTCTCTGAGGGAGTTCTTTGTCATTCCAGGGCTGAATTAGCTCTGGCCCCACTAAAAGCGGGAGGAATCATTTTATCCTTGTTTTTGGACACACATTTTGTATTTTCTCTATTTTGCTGACACCATGTGGTGCGCCAGCAGCTCCCAACTTTTCAGTGCTGCTCCCTTGAACAGTTTTTATTTGTAAAGCCACTACTTCCCTGCTGGAATCCCAGTCACAGCCCCCCAGAACAATGTGCAGGTTAAGGTCTTACACCTTGACCAGGACAATTTCCTGTCTCTAGACATGGAAAATAGAGGAAATAATGGATTGGAACCAGAATCCAGGCTTTTCCAGGGGAAAGTGAGGCAGTGTGCTTGGCACAGGCAGGGGTTGGTACAGGGGGTGCTCCCTGTTGGGTGATATATGTCTGGAACAGATCCTTCTCTTCCTCTGTCCAAAGTCCAATGGCAAACGAGTGAATAACTCACAGGTGTGGTCTGGAATGAAAATTGTTCTGTTAAAATTAGGCAAATAAGAAAAAAATATTGAAAAATATCTCTCTTATTTGGTGCTGTCATTTTTTATTGATAAAACCTAATAGAGAGCAATCAGAACAGAAGTGAGAAAGCCAAGAGCCTTTGACTTCCACAGTGGACTTTATTTCCATTTTCTTCTCTTTCAGGACAGGAAAATCCACTTAACTCCTCCCAACATTGCCAAAAACCTTTGGTGTTTGAGCAGCCAAACCCAGCAGGCTGGACTGGAGGGTCCCTGGTTCCTGCCCGTGGTGTGGGGCAAGTCCTCAGCTGTCCCCAGAGTGTTTCTATCCAGAGGGATCTGCTCTGGTTTCAGGCTGTCCTTGCAGTGCCCCACACCTGAGACAGAGAGAGCCCTGTCCAAAGTGGCCTTTGTCACCTCATCAGGAATGTGGCAGCCACAGCCCTGGGAGCAGACTGAAGGTGAGAACTGGGGCTGGGTTTGACACTGATCCAGGCCAGGTCAGTGGTTACCTGGGGGTGGGAGTTTAAGTGACAGATGCTGCATTTTGTGTACCCTGAGAATTTCTATCCCCCCTGGTGATTTCCTGCTGGGATGTGGCAGCACAGGGAGCAAAATTCAGCTTGCACCTCCCATGGCCATTGCTGGCCTTTGTCTCTCTGTTGTGCCTTCAGACCACGGGAATTTGCTGCTGTCACTGCCACTGCCACCCTGCCGGGGGGCTGAGTCCTTCTGGCAGCCCTTGCCAGCCCCACACACGAGGTCCAGTGGTGCCTCTCTGCTGTGTTGGGGGTGTTTGCCGGGAATGTGCCTCATTCCTGGGAGTATCCTTTGGTTCCTGGGCGGCCAGACAGAGCTTCTGGGCTTGTCAGCTTCAGAGTTTGATTGCAAAAGTCACTGAAAGGAAGAATGACAACGAGGTTTGTCAGAGTGTTGCTGTCAGACCCCACCAGACAGTCTGTGCTTTGTGTCAGAGGTTGTTGTGTATTTGCACTGCAGGGAATGACTGCCCCCTTCCCAACTCAGCCCAGGAGGTCCCAAGGACTCACAGAGGAATATTTATCCTTCACTTCCCTTTGTGACAACTTAATCTTCACCCTGCCATGAGCAATTCTTTTTTTTCTGGAGAAATCCTCACTGCAGAGGCAGTTTGCAAAGGAGCCCAGAGCTGTGTTCGGAGCAGAGAATTGCATCTGCCTGTGTTGCCACAGCCTGGCAACAGCCACGTGGAACAGACTGGGCACAGGGGATGGAGCAAAATATCCTCTCATGGAAGAGGTTTTCTCCTGTGCAGATCAGGCACGGGGCAGGAAGAGAACTTTGGAAATCAGCTGCTCTGCCCCCAGAAAGCTTCACTGCCATCATAGGACATGACCTGTGCCTACTGCTCACAATCCACCCAACCAAAATCGAGAGCAAAGGTTGGTTTGGGTTTGAGAACTTGAAATAACTTTGAAACCAAAGAAATCACCTTTTTCTTCTTTTAAATGCTGGATTTCCTCTGTGGATGTGTGCTGAGCTCTTGCTGAAGGGAAGTGTTAGGCCTGAAGGGCTCTGAGTTAAACGTTCTTCTCTCTGGGGAATTGGAAATAAAAATTAATTGCAGAAATGTTTTCTGAAACCTTTCCCCTTTTGTGCCTCCCCGTGCAGGACAAGGCTGGAGAGAGCTAGCAGGAGCACAGCCTCAGGCTGGAGAGGGGCAGGAGAAAGGCAAAGGGACCTCCCTGGTGTCACCAGGTCACCTGTGGGGAACAATGTATGCTTTGAGGGCAAATGGAGGTGAGGAGTGGATAGTTGGGGAAAAATCTGAGTTCATCTACAGGGAAATAAGTAGGGGATATTTTGGAGGGAAAAGCGGAGGTGATGAGTTCACCCACTTCAGTGCAATTTGTGTTTGCACAAGGTGGGACCAGAGGTGAAAGTCAATCCAAAGCCAACCCTGCTCAACCCCTAAATCCCAGGATAAATTCTACAAGCTACCAATGGAGGGACTAAAAAGACATCTGAATGGACCCAAGAACATGAAGAAGGTTCCTGAGAATCCCCTTACAGTATTGTCACAGCATTTTTAACAGACCTTTAAGCTTTTTATGACAACAATGCATTTCTTTGTTGGGATCATTCACTCTGTGGGCTGTGGGGTTTATTTGGATTTGAGCTCCCTCACGGTGACCCTGACACTGCTCAGCAGCTGGTAGGAAAAGCAGAGTCAGAACTCCTGGCAGGCACAGTGTTTTCCCCCAGAGCAAATCCAGCCTGGCCAGGAGGGATCTGCTTTGGCTCCTGGCTTCTACCAGGGAAAGGCTGTTTTCATTTGATGCAGGTGAGATTCTAGCAGCCTCATCTCACACCCCTCCTGCTCTCAATTCTGTGCTCAGAATTTGTCTTGCCAACAGCAGCCAAGGGACACGAGCACTCAGACAATCCTGGCACTTGGATTGTCCCTTTGGAGGATGCTGGCTGCTGGGATTGAGATCATTCCATACATTTGCCTGCTGAAATTTCCCAGCCCAGGGGCTTGAGCTGACAGGGCAGCACAAAGATTGTTCTCAGGGTGGTGCCCAGATCTGGGGTTCACTGTGAGCTTTGCTAGCTCAGATGAATTATACCCATAGTCCCAAATTCCCTGCTCAATTCCTGCTGGAATAACCTCACAGTGCCTCAAGTGTCAAGAACCAGCAGAGCTTCCAAGAAAGCTCAGCAGCATCAGGACAAGGATAGGTTTCTGTTCCATAGAATTGGCTACTTAAAACCCTCATCCCCCAGCCCCACCAATGCCCCTGGGGATCCCTTGACAGAGTCACCTGGAATTCAGCTGATTTCATCCCCCCGGAGTTCAGGCTCCAGTTGATGTTTTAAAGCAGGAGAAGGCAGTGGCTGGATGTTCTCCCAGCCCTTGCTGAGGCAGCCCCTATGTCCAGAGGGAACATCTCTACCTGTGGAAGCTCAGCTCCTTTCAGAGCCTCAGCAGTGGCCTCTGCAAGTTCTTTTCCCTGAGGAAAAGGGATGCCCATACCTCCCTTCAGCACACCTCCAGTGCAACCCACCTGTAAAAGCTTTCCATCACTTCTTCACTTCCAAAAAAACTCCAAACTTCATCCCATTCAAACCTTTTATTTTAAAACATCTCCGGGGGTAATTGCTTGGGATTTAATTCCTGTGAGGGAAGAGTACCTTGGCTTTAATGCTGTGGATGGATGATGTCCTCAGGCTGGAAGGGAGGGGATTTGGGGTGACCAGGACACACCTGGCAGCTGTGTGGGAGCTCAGAACCGGGGAGTTACTGCCTGAGCCCCTCTGCAAACAGCCTGTGCCACCATTCCCAGGAACTGCCAGCTGTCATGTTAGGTGCCAGCCAGTTCCACCCTACAGCCATTGCAGGGGCTGGTGTGTAAAGCAGCATTAGCAGGAGAGAATGAGCTGCATTTGTACAGGAATTCCCTTGCTGCCAGCAGCCATTCCCATCCCAGGCAGGACCTTCATCATGAACCTGAGATTGGCTCAGGTGCTTGGAGCAGGGTCCTGAGAAGGCCAAGATTCTGTGTTGAACGTCCAGCTAGGCTAATTATTTCTCATTTGACTTGATGATCCTCATGGGTCTTTACAACTCCAAATGCTCCTGTGCTCTAGAAATAAAGAATAGTTTTCACTGGCTTTTTAACACTAGAGGTTTTACCATTGGAGACTGCGAGCTGCAGAGAAAGTGGGGAAGAGGAAGGAGAGCGTCAGGTCTCAGCTGGCAGGTGTCGGATGAGCGGGCGGAGCAGGAGCGAGCCCCGGCACGGCCCCAGTCCCGCACCGGAGCGGGAGCAGCAGCACCAGCCTCGGCCCAGGGGCCGTCCCGGAGCGGCTGCTCCCGGCCCCGGCGCTGCAGCCCCGCTCGTTCGTCGGCACGGGAGAGCGGGATGCGGGCGCTGCGGTTCGCAGGGTGCGGTGGCCTGGGGCAGCCGGGGCGGAGCGGGCTCGGCCTCCCGCGGGGGCTGCGGCGGGGCCGGGGCTGCGCTGCGCTCCGTGTCTGCCAGAGGGCGCCCCAAGCGGCGGTGGCGGCCCGGGGTCGGTACGGAGGGGTCCGGTGTCCCGCTCGCTTCCAGCCGCGATCCAGCGTCTGCTCCGGGGCAGCGCCGCTCTCCCGGCGGGCCCAGCACCGCCACAGCCCCCGCTCCCCGCGGCCGCAGCGGTACCGTGCCCGGAGCCCCGGCGGGACCGCAGCCCCGCGCCGGCCGCACCTGGAGCGGCAGCGTCCGGCTCGGCTCCAGCGCCCGTCCCTGAGCGGCTCCTCCCGGCCCCTGGCCGAGCCCAAATCCCGCCACACTCCTCCGGCCCCGGGACCCACACCCCGCCCGGTACCCGCTGCAGACACGGGCAGGACCGGGACCCGAATCCCCGGGTCCCCATCCGGTCCCGATCCCGGTCCCAGCCTTACCTGAGCGCCTCGGGCTCCGCGCCGCGCTGGGAGCAGCCTCCGGTCCGGGGC